CAGTTGCAGTAGTAGAGCAGAGTGCCCAGCACTTTCAAATTGAAATGTCGTTTCGCCTGGCGCTAGAATTTTTCATTGCCAATTTCTTGAAGAGCAGTCGCCGGGGTCTGTCAGAAGCTGCCACTGCTGCCAAGTGCTGCCATATTTCTGCCATATTTCTCGAGAGCCAACACAAATGTCACATCAATCTTGTGACCAGTGTTGCGTAAGAAGCAAAGAAAATATTCATTTTGCTTTGCCGCCCTCCCCCCAAAAACAAGAGAAAAAATAAATCAAGTTCTGCGCCACGACTGCATGCGTAAATGATTAATGACCCAGCCGAACAGCGCGAATTTCAAATGGCGAAAACAACTAGTTTATTAAAATATATATATGCATCCAAACAAATACTACTATATGCCATGTAACTAGGAATTTATGTACTATTAGTCGTTAGCGAACAGTCTATAAGAGTTGTCAGCATTGTTAGTTCTGCCTAAGCCATGCTTATCTCTCTGTCAAGCTTACCAGAAACTTAAGATAGGCAGAATATTAGAAACATCCATGATATAGGCAGAACAAGTTAGTAACTAATTTATCAATATTTAATTCTCTTTGCGGTTACTGGCAGCAATTGATTTTTAAACTTGATTAGATTCATTTATTTTTTCCGGATGATTTTTTAGTAATTTTCTATATTCATAAAATTATATAACGTATGTAAATATGCAGAGAGTTCAAAGACCTTTCTTACTTATCATAATCTATTGCAATGATAAGATAAAGCGCTTTTAGAACAAGTAAGAAAGCTCTACTCGGGGTGCCCGACTAGGAGATACCCTGATCCTAGTCCTTTGAGTTTTGTAATATTTTCCGTAGTTTGTATCGAGAATTAAAAAAAAAAGAAAACAAATAAAAATCGACATTGCGAGACCAGGATTCGAACCCGGATTATTTGCGCAACGTGCACAAACTCTACCAACACCGCCACTTCATAACTAAAAAAAAAAAATAAAACAATAAAAAACATTTCATCTCCTCTGGTCTCGAACCCGGACCAAGCTGCATACGAGCGGCGCCTATACCAACGCAGCCACTGCCCTTCTTTCGCGAGTTGTTGCAAATTTGAACATAAGTAGCAGCTAATAATTCAGCACAATTCAATCGCAATTTCAATTCTTGGAATAGAAAAGAATGCACGCATTTGAATGTATGTGTGCACACGCATAGGAAAAATGCGTGCGCGTGGCGCTGCTGACATGTGCTTTTGCAAATTGGCCAAACGTTTTGTTTAATAACTTCTGTTTTACTTAATGGATTTTAATGAAACTTTCAGCATATGATCTACATATCCTATTGGCTTGGTTGAGATGCAAACGCCTTCACATAATGGCCCTAGCTCCAACTAAACTTAAATTCTAAGAATTTGGGGGAATTTGGAGCCGGTATCCAAAATCCAACAAAAATCAAAATTGCATAAAATATACATAAGACTAAATACAAAATTTGGAGGCTCTAGCTCTTAAGACTTTCGAGATATAATTTATTTACTGCATTTCAATAATGTTTTTATTCGATAACAATTAAATGCGAATAGTTATCGAATATTTGAAACAAACTTGACCTGCGCGTGCTATACACGGACCTACAAAAAAAATTGCAAGTCTCTAGCTCTTATAGATGCTGAGATCCACGCGTTCACACATACGGACAGACGGACAGACGGACGGACAGACAGACGGACAGGGCTCAATCGACTCGGCTTGTCGTCCTGATCAAGAATATATATACTTTATGGGGTCTGCCACGCCTCCTTCTGCCTGTTACATACATTTGCACAAAACCATTATACCCTGATTTCCCATTTTTAATGGGATCAGGGTATAAAAATTTATTTACAAGCGACTAGCAGCACCTACTTGGTGCCATTTTTATATATTTTATCAAATTTCTTCCACGTCATTAAAATATAAACATAATTTATATATAACATAAAATTAAAATAAAAATAAAATAAAATATATATATATATAACATAAAATTCAAGATTTGGGTATATCAGCATTGCTTTAAGAATAGGCCTACATCGGCTTGTAGAACCACAGATCAGTTCTGCTTTAATCTTTTCTTTATATTGGCTGAGAGAACTCAGCATGATTGCTAGGATATATGTTTATGGCTGATATTAATATAGTTTTTGGCCAAGTGGGGATAACCCAGCTCAGACCTTCGCAGTGTGCAACGCCAAGTTACCTTATATTCTGCAAGGACAGCATGTTGAAGTGCAACAACGGTACTGCCGCTTCCTCTATCTGAGGTTTTAGTCTTAAGTTCATAACTGCATCTTTAGTCATTGAGTTACCTTGAAAGTTGATCAATTCGTCAACTGAACGCGCATGCGCAACTTTGACAAGTTTCGAATCTTAACAGAGAGCAATTGTTTAATTCAGACACTACTCAGGCACATTCCCGCAAGCACATTCCAAATGATGCCAACAATTAGACTTTTAATTCATGTCGTAGCAGATTTATTAAATATTTTAAGCTAATGACAAAAGAGCGTACAAATAAATCCAGTTTTAGCGTTTATTTGCTATAATTTCTCAAATAAATACGATTAAACTAGATGCTCTTCGATGCTCAGCTCGTAAGTTGTTGAAGTCAAAGCATTTTCGAGCTGTGCCTAGCTCCCGTCAAATAGTTAAATAGCCATTTAAAAATTGTCAAAAATGTGAGGTATTTATTTGTTAAGCTTCTAGGAAATAGTCGAGTGAAGCTAAACAACTAAATGAGTTGAGCACGCAGCTGTTTAATTTTCATGAGAGGCAATAGGTCAACGTCATGTCATTTGAATAATGCTCGCATGTGGCGCGGCAGTTGCCGGTGTTGCATCGCTAGACGTAGACTTCTTTGGTGGGTTTCCACCTGCCACAGAGGCTAGCTTGTGGCTTGGCACATTTTATAAATTTTGCGGGTCAAAACGATTGAGCGCATGCGGAGGCAGACGCTGTGAGGCCAACTGGCCAGCTGTCTTGATACCCTGTACCCCAGTACCTGTGGGTCGTCTGACTGCCAATTGCTTTTGCAAAACGTCGGTGCAGTGGTGTGTGCGGTATTTGCCAGTCGATCAGCAGCAGTTGCAGTCTTTGCAACACATGTTGCTGTCGCAGTCGTTGTACATGTTGTCGTCTTGCCGCATGCGGCGTCTCTTGTCGCTGATTAGCATCGCCATAGCCATCGCCAGCGCTCGTCGCTCGTGTCGGCGCGATAAGCTGCAAAGTCTCATGTCTCGGGCTTTAACTTGCATCGATGCAGATGCAGATGCAGATGCCGATGTCGATGTCGATGTGGATGCCACATTTCATTGCCGAACATGCTTTTTATCACGCGGCTTCTAGCGTGTGCAACCAAATAAGTTAGCAAGGTGTGTTTACTTGACACAAGCTTTTGAATTATGCCTTGTCCCCAAACCAGTAATGAATCTCAGCGTATATGTACAGCCGAGGCTTAGAGCAAGGCTGTTCTAGGTTTTATATATTTTGATGTGCATAAGTTGGCGTCTTGTCAATATAGTCTCTGTTTAGGTCAACTCTAAAATAGTCAAGTTATTTCTGTTAGCATTCTCAACTCTATTTATTTATTAGACCTGATGAACTGAGCGAGTTTAGCTGCAGATTGAACTGAAAACTTTTTACAATAAATATCTGCAAAATATTGTGGAATTTCTCAAGCGCAAAAAGTATTAAAAATTTTTTGAAATTTTCTTTTAAACGTTTACAAGTTCAGTTTTAAATTATAAGTTTATATATAAGTTTCACGTTCATTTCACAGATTAGAGTGACTCGTCGAATAAGAAAGAAAATAAAATAAAGATTTTCACCTAAAACATTTACAAAATGTAGATATAAAATATATTATAATTTGGCATATGGAAGTAGTATTTAAAACTCTGTCCGACGATGTCACAAAATTTGGTTAAGATTTATTAAGAAAATTAAATCAAAAACTTAAAAAGAATTTACTGTAAGCACTAATTCCTCTAGTAAAAACCCAGAGAAGTTTTCCCTTGAATACGGAAATACTAATTTGTTCTAGGGATCATAACTTGGCATTAACTAGTTGTCTTTGCTCAGCTCTAGATCGAAATATATTCATTTCGTACTGAGTCGATACTACGTTAGTCTTCTCAGACCTCAAGTTTTATATATAGTTGGTCAGGTATTACATGCGGAAGCGCTTTACACGCGATATGCTAAACATCTATAAGAAATAAGAAAACATATTCGGTTTCTAAAACGTTTTTCCAATCTCGACTAATTGGGTGCCCCATCGATCTTATTCCTACGTCCGAGCATTAACGTAAATGTATTCAGGCATACATTTATGTATATATCAATTTCAATGGAGCGGCTAAGCAGAGGGTTTCCTGCTGAGATGCTCGCATGCTGTTTGCTGTGCACCGCCACTCACCGGGCCGGCTCCTCCGCGTCTTTGGCAGCAACGCCTCTTGCCTTGGCCGGGTCTCATTAGCTGCTGCATTCGATGACGCCAAACAAGCCACTTAATTTAAATTTAAATGTTTACTTCTCGCTTTGCGTGTGGGGCAAAGTATTTCGTTTTTTCTTTGCCCCTCCCGCCCCTCCCTTACCCCATCAATTACAGAGTTTTTAGTCAACGGTCCCTGCTCTCGCTGTCACGACATGCCAAGATTTATTTTCGGTATTCCACGAGCGACTAAAATGCGCTGTCAGCACAGCAGTTGCTGCCATACGTCCTCCCATCGTTCGGTCCTCTCATGTAGCGACAGCTACATTAGCGTCTGATGGTGGTCTTACCGCCTCTCCCCCTCTCCCCATCTGCCCTTCCCCTTCCCCCACCCCAACACGCAGCTTTGAGGTTTCCCTCTCTCAATGCACTTGACACCCGAAATTGATGCGATTCGCGCCCAACCCACATTAATTAGGCAAAATATTGACATGTTGATGTGTGGTGTGGCTATTGATTTATGCTCTAGCTGGGAGTTTGGTTTAATCAATTTAGTTTCTGTTTGTCTGCAGCACAAGTTCCTGTTTTTGTAGCACTTAAATAAAAATATATCCTAATTGTAAGATGCATTTCACGGAGAATTTTCAATGACCTTCCTATCACTCTCTTATTTCCCATTCTGTTTTCGTTTGCTTGTTAAATCATCGCATTCGCCGAGACTTACGCATGCAGCGTTTGTTGAAAAGGCGAAGTAACAAATGAAGTACAGCTCCGAAACGTTGACAGTTGGATTTACCTACAAGTTCATGGTTTATAGAATATAAAGGGGTAGAGGAGCAATCGCTTTATCTTATCGAGTGTTAACTAACCATCGTTCCATTTAACCCAGTTGGATTGGTCGTTAAATACCTTTTCTGTTTCGGGGAACGAGCCGATGGGGACACTGGGTAGATCGTTCTCTGGGCAGTCGGACGTTTGCTCTGCGAAAGAAGAGGGTTTTGAGCTTGAAGTCTTCAACTTTGGATCATCTCTGTTGGTCTGACGCGCACAACTTTCCGTAGTTTTCCTCAAAAGGATCCAGGACTTTTGCAAAATGTTACCCTCCACAATCAGCTGCTCATAGCCCTGGAGTAGCTTCCGGACATCAACGCCCACTAGCTCTTCGGGCAAAGGCTGGTCGGTGAACTCTTTCGATGTTTGACGCAGATCCTCGAAGCGGTTGATCAGCTGCTTGATTTTACCACCGCATTCCGGACTATCAAGCTTTTGCGCTGCCTGAACCGAGATCATCGAAGTCGTCTTCGATAGTGACGTTGCCTGATCGTTGTTGATACTGCGCAGAATCTGTGCTGTCTCCACCATAAACGACTTTTGCCGCTTGCGAAGGTCCAGCAGGCGCTGCTTCAGCTCGTCTAGATAGGCAAGCTGCTGCGAGGTTGGCTGCTTGCAGGTCATCCTGCCAGTTGCATTAGTTATACACCAATATTTTAGATTAACATTGAAAGACGTGTGCCCTAAGCACTGTTTGTGTAAATGAGTTGTGTGTTCGATTGGCATACGAAAAGTCAATTGCCTGACGCTAATCGCTTGGTTGACTAGCTCTCAAACTGGTTAATCTTATAGTTAGGAAAGCATTAAAAGCAGACAGCAGTGTCAAGATACTCAAATGTTAATTGGATGAGAGATAACAAGTTGTTTTCTTCTGAATTGCTTTGGGTATTTTGCTTGGGCTAAAGGTCTATCAGATCGGAGGTCGGAGAGAGATAATTCGTCAAGGAATGCCTCAAATGTTAAATGAAAGTGAATAAGGCTTAGATACCACGTACTGTAGGTCTACTATTATGCCATGGTTCACATTGCGAGAGTATACTATGCGAACCCTTAACAAGATTTTACAACAGAAAACCATTGCAAATAACTCTGTGCGCATTTCATTAGTCTATCATATGACACCTATCCATGCACCATTCTGACATATCTAAGCAGACCTGAGCCACCCACTGATGCATTGCAATCGAGAGAGTACACAACGATCGACTTTTAAAGCTCGCGCCGTTATCCCTATTGGCTTTATGAGTACCCAAATTGAGATATCGCATGCAGTTCGAATTGTCGAGTAAGTTGTAACCCACTGTCTGCCATGGCTTGCGCGAACAATGGCGATTTTAGTCGGCGCTTTGCAGATACACCTATATATCTTTCGTTAAGCTGTGGATGCCGGCTGTCTCCCGGCAGCGGGCGGAGCGGAGCTAAGGAATTTCACAAAGCCGTCGCCAAGAAAACGTGCCGCTGCCAATGGCTGCCGCCTACCACACGGCACTTAGCCAGGCCCAAAAGTTCCGTCCGACTGCTGCTGCTGCTGCTGCTGCTGCTGTTGATTTCACCCGGGGGTAGTGCCCGCCCTCGCCTGGGCTGCGGATCGCGGCTGGGTTTTGCAATTGTTGTTTCATATTTTAATGCCTTTGAGCTGGTAGGCGTGCTACGACACGATTCTTTTAGCCGATAAGCTGTTATTTTTATGTGCCGCCAGATCGGTGTTGGTCTCACTGCTGGCGCAGAAGTGTGGGCCGGCTTACAACTTTAAGAAGTTCAAATTATTACAGGGCAATTGTCTTGATCGTTGATTTATGTGCGCTTTTGTTGTCCAACCAGGCTCGACTCGACTCGACTCGACTCGACTCGGTGCCAGGCTCGACTCTGGGCAAATTTGCGCTGCTGCTAAAATTTATTAGGCCGGCCATAACGTGCCAGCAAAGCTATGCAATATGGTTAGTTGATTATGGTGCTCGGCAGCCACCGTTTTGTGGCATGCAGCATTGGCCCTACCCCCAGCATGATAGACCCGCTTAGACCATGCTTATTAGGCACAACTTTTACGGCTATGTTTTAAATGTTATTTTATTTGTGCTTTCTGTGTGTGGCCCTTTGAGGCAGAAAGCTGCTCTTAATTGCAGACTCCACAGTCCACTTGGCTGACAGCAATTGCAATGTCGTAACAACGCCTCCGAAACCCTTCTGTCAGCCCTTTGCACGACTGAGCCATGCCTGGGTCAAAGTTTCAGCCTTCAAATTGCCCCGAACCTAATGATTTCATCTTTCATTGAATTCAAATTTGCTGGCCGTGGGGCCATGCAGCACAACGAAGGAATGACTACATCGTGGGCGTGCCTTCATCATACGCCCCTTTGTTGCAGTCTGCGATGTGGACCTGGCCGGCTGGCTGGTCGACTACGGCTCTGACTGTGGCTATTGCTCTTGCCGTTGTTGTGGACTGTTGAAAGCCGCTGCTGTCGGCCAATATAACGAATTTATTATTTATTTCACCTGACAGCCCGAGCAACAGACTCTATAAATTTCCCTAGCCACTCGACTCGCCTGGACTCGTATTTATGGCCTATCGCTGGGATGCTCGTATGGAGAAATATTATTGATAAGGTGGGTAGGCTATTTGGGTCTTGGGGTCTCTGCTCTGGTGTGCTGTGCTGTTCTGATTGAAATGCCGTTGCCTCGAACAGCTTTATTTAACCGGGCAGCCGCCAGCTGTGGTCGAGGCCAGGAATCAGCTGAGGCGGCATCAAACTTTATGGCCAAACAAAACAACTTTAACCCAATATCCTGCTTGTAGTCATAATTTGAAAAGCAAAGCAGAAAAATATATATTCAGCCGACCGCCTGGGTGCAAAAGTCCAAGACCTAATCGGAGTCGTCGGCTCGGCTTCAGCCAAATACACAGACATAGATGTGCTTGGCCCGTATTTCATTATGAATTGCTCTTAACGATGTTCCATTTTTCATGTGCGCATTCATAAACCCTTTTTCCCATTTTTCGCTGCTGTAGACTCCAAGCAGATTGTTTGCATGGCGAGAAGATTGCCAGCTGCTCCGGCTCCGGCTCCGGCTCTTCAGGTTCCTTGGAATCTCGTCAGTGAATAATTGCAACACGTTGTTGTAAGCAGAGCCCGCGGCACAATCGACTCGCTTCAATTATGCACTTCCCCAGAGCCGCATTCAGTTCGTGTTGTTAGGTAACTGAGTTATCTCTCTGTTATTTATAGAGCTGATTCTCGCGCAGACTGAAGCAATGCATAGTTTATAAGTCGTCAATAGCCAAAAAATGTCCAAATTTATTTCGAAACAATTGGAAAATGATTCCGAAAAATTGCATAAGTTTATGTAAGAATATTTAAAATATTTATTTATGTTTAATGATGATGTGAAGTTAATCAGGAAGACAAAGCTTAACCCGTTGGGACCATTTCAAAAATGATATAACTTTGGAAATAGATAGACAAAAAGACACGTTCTATCCATATGCAAAACTAATATACTCTCTTACTCTGTGTACAAAAATAATACAGGCCAGAGGAGGGTTGATGTGTCATCAAATGATTTTTCAGTTGAAATATCTGAAGCTAGGAAACATCTGTTGATAAGGCTAACTCTATTCAGATACGCGTTGAGCCTATCAAACACTTTCTGATTCAGTTGAGTTGTGGCTCAAGAGCCACATATTCGTTACTTGAGCTTTATTTGCTCATAAAATATTTGTGATATTTTTGCTTAGGTAATTTGTCTAACCAACAAATGCAGTTTTCATTCTGGGCACAAAAAGCAATTGCCGTCTTCAGTTTCATTACTTAGCTGTGGTAGAGAGAGAGTCAGAGGCAGCGGTAGAGGTTGGCCAAGGGTATTTCGTTCAGTTTCGCTTGCGCTGCGGCTGTCAAAGGCGCAGCGGGCAGTAAAATCGCGGTAAACACAATTGAAAAACGGGCAGCTCGCAGTTCGAAGAGAAGGAACTGTGCCCAGGCCCAGTCGTGAGCGAAAGAGTGCGGCGGCAAACACTCCACACTTGTCAACAGCGGCTCTACTGATTGTCTGCCCTGTGTAGCCAAGAGCTACAGTCCGCAGTAAATACAGGCGCAGATTCTGCACTCCCCTGCCCCGATCAGGTATCTGGCAACGGGGTCGAGGCTGCGGCTGTCGGAGGCTGAAACGAGACTCACGCTTATGCTCACAAATCATAAATTGCCGCCTTAAAATTTATCTTCAATTTTCGAGACCCCATGTGGTGCTTAGCGAATGGTGTTTTGAAATTTATTGCTGCATTTGCAATAAATATTGTCAGTTGGGTTCAGCCAGCGAGCGAAAGAGACGCCATAGTGGGCGGGAGCGAGAGAGAGAGAGAGAGAGAGAGAGAGAGATGACTTCTTTGGCGGCAACAGCAGCATTTGCTCTGTGGTGTGTGTGTGTGTGTGTGTGATTGCTGCTGTAACGCCTCTCACACCATCTCCTGGCTAGCCCACCTCACTGTCTCTCTCTCTCTCTCTCTGTCAGTGAGATCCCCTTCTCTTTCGCCTCGCCTGCTGCATTGTTTATGGTTTTCGTGCATATTAATGTGCGCTGATTGTGAGTCGAGGGAGTTGTGCGGGGCGACTTAAGCCGCCAGTCGCGCTATACTCTGCCAGGCAGGGCAGTTAGCAGCTGCCATTGTCCCAGGTTTCAGGTCCCAGGTCCCAGGTCTCAAGCCCCAGTTGCCAGTCAGATGGTTAATTTACAGCGCGAGAAATTGATTGCCAGTTGAAGGAGCGAACAATGAGTGGGGTGTTTCCCTAAAGTTTGTTGGTTAATTGTGGCTTTTTCGACATCAGCTTAGTTGGCTTTAGCAACAAAACATTTATTGAACGGCCGTCGGTATTTGCCAACTTAATTGCACTCAAGGTGTTTATCGATTCATCGGCGAACCGACGATAATAGCCTTTATGACAGCCAACGTATGAGAATGATATAATTATTAACTTTGGTTTTGTTGCTTAATTTTTTACTATTTAATATGAAAACCTCAAGAACTGTGAAGGTAAAGCAAACATGTAATCATGACGCAACAGGAAAATGCCAAAGTACTGCTATTGCAGCTCATACTTGTTGCTCATTAGTTATATAAACGTATTAAATATTTAAAATTCCCAATCAGTTATAATAGAATACGCAGCTCTGGTAGGAAGTGCCCGACTAAGAGATACTCAAACCATACACACAACTAGGAAAAGTCAAAATCTTTTTAGACTTTGAGTCTCTAGATTAGTCGATCTTCAAGCTATGCTTAAAGACATTATCGATAACAAGTAAATATGCTGGGTTATCGATAAAATTTGATAAACCACGCATAGTATAAAAATATATATATCTTTAAAATTGAGTTCTTCACGCATTCATAAGAACAGACAGCTGGCTATACCAGACTCAGCTCATTGTCTCAATCAAGGACTGTCTAATTCCATTAATTAGAGACATGTATGTAAAAACAAGACAAGCTTGTCTAGCCTAGATGGATGGAGCTGCATATTCCCTTCCACATTTGGACAGGCTGGCAGACAACTGCTGTCTCAGTTGGCAGGCTGATTGTGTTTGTAATTTGGGGCTTGGCTTTGCAGTGCTGTGTCAGGGCAGAAAGAATTCAATATTGGGCTCTCACCTAGCTGGAATGTCAGGCAACATTGCCATAGCCATCA